TATCACATGATAAACATACCCAGATTACATGTAGCATGCACATATCACATGATAAACATACCCAGATTACATGTAGCATGCACATATCACATGATAAACATACCCAGATCACATGTAGCATGCAAATATCACATCATAAACATACCCAGATTACATGTAGCACGCAAATATCACATCATAAACATACCCAGATTACTTGTAGCATGCAAATATCACATGATAAACATACCCAGATTACATGTAGCATGCAAATATCACATGATAAACATACCCAGATTACATGTAGCATGCACATCACATGATAAACATGCCCAGATTACATGTAGCACGCAAATATCACATGATAAACATACACAGATTACATGTAGCATGCAAATATCACATGATAAATATCACAAAATAAATATCACATGACAAATCACATAATGCAGGCATATGATAAAATAAGCAATCTCGTGTTCATCTCTGATATTTTAGGTGAAGTCAGTATGAACAGAATTTATCAATCACACTGAAGGCTGCAAACAATTGTTTTGTAATATTAGTATATTAATATAGTTAAATTTGCACTAGGAATGAGAAACTTATAAACAATCTTAGTTTTATAAGTATCTCAGCTAGCATTAAATACAGAATATAATGGCCAGTCGTTAGTCCCAGTTGCTCATAATTTGTTATTATATTTTAATTATGTAAAATCATATTGTTACTGAATTGTATATATTTAGATAATATTCCACACAAGGTGGCGTATATACAGAACATTTTTATTAAATTCACTGTGGTTTGTGACCGATTTTAACACATTGTTTTTAACTGCTAAATTGTTTTATATTTTAAACTGTTATTTGTATTTCTCAGCAATGCACATCTATATGGATGTATTAAATAGTACATGCTACTACTTTACACAGGTGCTAGGCATCTATAATTCTACCTCAGGATACAATGTATTATGGGATTCTTTTCTCTTGGGGTCTGTTTCCAGCACATCAAAATAGAAGAATTCCTGGATTTCCATAATACCAAATGCGCAGATTTGACTTACTCGCGTCTTTTGCGCACTGGATATAGGACGACACAACTTAAGCATGTACCACTGCAATAAGCAATACTATTTGCCTGTAATGGGCTGTGTGTCAGAATTGAAATAATTACATCTATTTTTTTGTTTTGACATGTTGTGATCATCATCAGATTTCCATTATGAAATTGTCACATTTTGTCCTGTCTGTTATGCCTGCATACCATAGTGGATAGTTTCCTGGGGTTTACATCACTCAATCACTCTGACGTACTCTATCAGCAAGGTGCATGAGATTAAATTTTGTTAGAAGCTTAATATTTGATGGGTTTGAGCATATTTCAGCATGCGCAGAAGATAGATATTCTTAGCTGAAATGATCCCAAACCCCAATATACAAACTGCCATATAGATTTACATTTCATGTTAGTAAAAAATAAATTAGGATCTCAGTTGTACGAATTTAAATCTGATTTCATGTTTACATAAATTTTTCATTTCTGTTCCAAATTTACAATTTATAGTTTTCAAAAAGATGACAGTTATTTTTTGTTTTGTTTTTTAAACCAGGGTTTTATTTTGTAATTTCTTGGGAGTTGATTTTATCTTCTGTTTATATTTGTTTATATTTTCATTTTCTGTGCAAAGAATAATGTTTTCAATTCTATGTAGCATCGTTAGTTTTACCGTCTACACACTATACCAGAATCCTATGTTAGGATTGATACTAATAGCACAAAAGCCCAAATTGGAACATTAATTTGGGTACAGTCTTGCTTCCTGGAAAATGGATCAGATTTAACTATTTTTGATTCTGCATAATTTCTAATTATGTTGATTTTTAAAAATTGCACATTACTGTTGAAATTATACACAGAGTAAAATGAGATCTGTGGCACCGCTGTGAGGTTCATTCTTATGTGCATGTATTGACTGGTAAAATATCAACACAACTTTGAATTCTCTGGCTTCCTCACATGGTTTTACTACTGACCACTAGAGGGCAGTAGACATAGAACAGATATGTGTGTAGGCAACACGAGCATATGTGAAACACTTTTATTACGATTTTAATTATTGTTAGTGGCTGTAATTCAAAAACAAGGACTAATTCACAACATTTGCCATCAGATTGTTTTTTTTTTTCATTGCTTCCATTTGATTCTTTTGTTATGAAAATATGCATGCTTACCCATGCTTGCGATGAGATCATGGGTTGTGCTATATGATGCTGTACTTGCATATGCAGTTGTTTTCAATGGCGTCCTTCAAATGTAATTCTATTTCATTGATAAATACATATTTTGTTATTATATTAGAAGTGTAATATACAGGTTAAGGTACACCAATAACCACATTGTATTAGTTGTGTTATAAATCAATCAGCCATACACTATATGTATCACATAACTAATTATTTCTGTAGCAATGCATCATCAACAAATTTTATTTTGAGTAATTATCAGTTATTTCACATGCAATAACTTCTGTCTGAACTTTGTGAGGGATATACTAACTTGAAAAAGAAAGACGATGATACTATGAAACCCCCCACCCCCTTTGAGTTGAGGTATTTTGAGTTGTGTATGATTGTTTTTACATTTGTGATATACTGCGTTTTTATTCATGTAATTTTTTTTGTCATAATCTTTTTGAGGGGGGGAGAGGAATCGCAATACAACAAACTGGGATCAAAATATACATTGTGATTAGTTTCTGGTATTTAGAAAAAAAGTCACTCTAAATTTGATGATACATTGTACTATTGACCCTGTACTCTGTCTTTCTACCCTCTCCACAGACAAGTTTCATGTTCCATGGTTGCTACATGTATGTTATTGACCGTTATGTTATGTTGATGGCACTCACAACAGAAAGGGAAACAGGTTTTCTTTATTTTATGAACGTTGCATAAACTTTCACAGTTAATATGAATATTTAAAATACAGAATCAACACATTTGGTACAAAACTGATGCTGGTATAACATCAGCCTTAAAACTGCTCATTGCTGCTGACTAGAAGCTAATTAATATTGATTCCCTTCACGCACATAGTTGTCAGTAACCAAGTAACCTGTAACTTATCTATTCCAGTTGACTG